CATGTTCTTTATTATTGTTTGACTAATTAATTGTTTATATATGCTTCTAGTGTTCATCTCATTATAAATTGAAATTTGATTGGAGTAATACTAAAAAAATAAATAAAGAATGAATTTTAAGATAAATTTTAATAGTTGTACATAAATCACGCTCCGACGGAGGCCTCGACGTGCAATAGCAAGCTACGGGTGCTCATCTAAGGCCCCCATCAACCGTCCTCCTAGTCATCCTCGCAGCGCACTCCAACCTACTCTTTATCTTTGTTACTAAATCTCCGACCAGCCCCTCTCACGGTGTTACCCACAATTCCCCCATATTGTTTATTAAAACCGATGCCAACCCAGAAGCAAAAGAGCTACGACTTTTTGTGAAAAGTATGTATGTTACATTAAATACAAAAAAAAATAAAATTATATGTATAATAATAAAGTTAAAATCTCAAATAATCTATCAAATTTACCAAACCTCTCCAGCTGTGGGACTTACGAACCCAATGTGTGTGGTCTCACACCAGGTAGAGGTTAGGTAAAAATTGATAAATAAATTATTTGGGGTCCCTAACATCAGGGTGCCTCTATTTACACACCACATTTTGTCTCAAGATACACCATTAATTGATTATTTTTTTATTAGAATAATGACTTTACCTAAAATGACCAAAATGACCACAAAAGAATATCAATATACACCTTAGTTGAATACACAACATCCAAACCCTAACCTTAGCCACCATTGTTGCAAGTTAATCGGAGAAACCCTCGACGGTGGTGTCAGCACCAGCGGCGGGGGATCAGGCGGTGTCTCGAGACGCAACCGGCGGCCAAAGAGTCGGTGACGGTAGAGCGGCACAGCGAGTTCGCAGCGGTGTGTAAATGGAGCATCTTCAATTTCCCCAAAGTTAAAGCTAGGACACTGTGGAGCAAGTACTTCGAAGTCGGAGGCTATGATTGTCGCTCTTGGTTATACCCAAAAAGCGACTCTCAAGCTCTTCTTGGTTACATCTCAATCTACCTCCAAATCATGGACCATAGAGGCACCTCTTCTTCCAATGGGACTACTTCGCTAGCTATTATCTCACCGTTGTCAATTCCTTTCGAGAAATCCAAATCGATTCATAGGGATTCTTGGCACTGCTTCTCTAGCAAGAAGAAGTCTCATGGTTGGTGTGTTTTCACTCCCTCTACCTCGATTCTTGACCCTAAATCTGGTTTTTTTTTGTTGAATAATGATTCAATTCTTATTATTGCTGAAATACTCGTATTGAATGAATCGATTAATTTTTCCCATGATAACATTGAAATTTAATCCAATTCGACGACCTTATCGGTTGTGAATGGATCGGTTGGTGATTGTTTGCGAAGACGGAAGGAAGGGTTGACGGCGGTGGCCATGATTGTCATTGATAGTTGTTGCTGGTGATGGCTGCTGTCATGGTAAATGTCTGACAGTTAGGGTTTTTTTTTTTTTTTTAAAAGTGGGGTTTTTTTTTTTTTTTTTTTTGAATTGAAGGTGTGTACGAAGTGGTGTGGGATTAAGGGTAAAAATGGAATGTTGTGGTGTGTGTTGAGAAAAATTATTATTATTTTTTTTAAAATTATTAAAGATGTGAACTGAGTAGTGGTGTGCCTTAAGACAAAATATAGTATGTAAATAGAGGCAACCCTAACATCACTCATATAAACGTAAGGAGGAGAGCTAGTATGACAATTATAGCCCTACGGAGGGAGAGATTTCCTACATTGCTCATAAGTCACAACTAGGTGCTGCGAAGGCTTGTGTGACTTCATTCCGAGCGTATTTTAGTGACTTTTGTAAAATTTATTGAGAAATCACTTATGCAATTGTAATAACCCTCGTCACTGTTTACCGAATAACTACTGATTACCGTTAAACGGAACTGATTGTGACTGATAAGTGAACTGAATAAACTACTGAACTGACTAACTGAAATTTGAAACTGAATTGACTGAGTATATCTGTTCAATTGTATGTCTATCTGTTTGATTACCTATTCGCGTCTTGTGTTAAACTGCTAATTGAAGGCCTTATCGGCGGCCGAACCGGAAATCGATTAGAGTTTTATGATCATCGTAATTTATGTGATTTTATAGCATGTAAACTGATTAGGTATGATTAAATTAGATTAAATGGTGCCAAATTACATGAATTGGACTTATTTACAATTAGACCACTTAGTGGCCACTACTTTGCACATTTTGAGACTTGTATTCACATTGAATCAAAACATTTCATCAGTCCATTCTCCTTGCTCTTGCCAACTTGAGAGAGAGAGAGATAAGAGAGAGAGTTAGTTTCATCTCATTTGGCTTGGTTTGCTTGGAAATTGAGTAGATTGGAAGGACTCTTGCATAATTATAGCTCTAGACTTGCCTTTCAAGCTTTAGGTAAGGAATTCAACCTTTTGATTGTGGAATTTCAGTTCATTCTTGCATGATTCATGCTTAATTGAAGAGTTGAGTCAAGTTTTGGTCTTAAAGTGTGGTATTAGAGCTCCATTGTTGCATACATGTGTATATTGTAGAATTTCAAGTTGTTTTCATGGGGAATTGTCTCATGCATGCTCATAGTTATATTAAGTCCATGTTTTCATCTTGTTTTTGGAACAATTGGCTCGCTAGAGCATGTTTTGAAGCTTTGAAATTGGTTTGAATTCATGCATGTTTGCATGCTTTTCATATTCTTGGAAATTTGTTTGAATTGGATTTATTTGAAACACCCTTGGGCTTTGATTTTACAAATTGAGCTTTGAATCATGTTAAAGTATGAGTTTTGATGTGTTTTCTGGAAAATTGGCCCAAGAGGATCGAAATTTATGGTTTAAAACTTGGTTTTGAGCTTGAGGTTCAAATCTGGAATTTCCAGAATTTGGACTCACGCTCGAGCGGGGTGACTGGCGCTCGAGCGTGGAAATCGTGCTCCCAGCATTTTTGTTCTGTTTTGAAGTCCGCTCGAGCAAATTAATTGACGCTCGAGCGAGACATTGTGTCTCATGCTCGAGCGGGTGTCGAGCGCCCAATCGAGCGTGATTTTCGCCTATCCAACACTTTTGACTGTTTTGCAGAAGCTCGAGCGGGTAATTCTACGCTCGAGCGGAAACCTTTGTCTGCATGTCCGCTCGAGCGGATTAACCTACGCTCAAGCGCGAACCCTGTTTTCTGAAAAGTCTGGAAATGCTTTTTCAAGTGCATCTTTGCATCCTCGTCTCATTCTAGGCATCCTTAGGCCTAGTTTAAGACATCTTATTGAGGTTCTAGATGTAGAAACACACCGAGGCAATTAGGGATTAAGTTATTATTTTTCCAACTGTGTAGCTTAGTGTGTGTTAATCTGTAACTGTGTAGGGTTGACCTACGATTCCACTCACCCAAATAACATGCATAAGACAAATTTTGTCATTCTCTTCTCCGCGCTAACCTCATGACTAAAATTTCCTTAGAGGATATCATGAAAAGAATGCAATAAGAATTGCTAAATACTTCACGAATTTAGCAAAAATAAAAGAAAAACCATTGACAGGATAACAAATTACAACAAAACAACCCAAAGGCATAGGGTATTTGGAAGAAAAAGAAAAAAACCTTTTTGTATAATTCCATGAGGTTGGACTCTTCAAATGGCAGAAAGCCTGCCAATAGTACAAAAACTATTACACCGCACGACCATAGATCTGCTTTAGCTCCATCGTAGCCTTTATTCTTAATCACCTAGACAAGTAAACAACCAAAGTGATGAGGATAATAAGTGTGGTTAGGAAGAGATAGATATGTTAAATTGCATTAAACACTATACCATACTTCAGGAGCAACATAATTTGGTTTTCCACAGGTTGTGTGCAGTAACCCATCTCCCTGAATGAAGAGTTCAGAAACTCAGTTTTAAACATGTGTAATGGTCGCCACACTATCATCAAGAGTTTAAACAATGCAATACTGTACGTATAGATAAAATAAATGAAGCGTTGCCCCTGAAACTTTGACACAATTTTTACTACTAGCCCCCCCCCGGGCGACTAGTAGGATGCAGATGAGAAGTACTAGACAGGAAGCTGTCACATACTCGAACTTGCTGAGGTAGAGCGCTTAATCCAAAATCTGAAACTTTGAGGACTCCATTTGCAGAAATTAAAACCAAGAGTCAGTGATTTTCTCACCTTCAGATCCCTATGAAAGACACCTCTGCTGTGGCAGTAATCCACCACATTTATGAGCTGCTGAAAATACTTCCTTGCTTCATCTTGTTTCAACCTCCCTTTACTAGACTGCCTCAAAAAAACCGTACAAAATCCAACATGGTCACTAATTGTATGGAACAAGATTTTCATGAGAATCAATGCATTAAATCAGAAGCAATCAAAGCCTTACAATTTTGTCAAAAAGTTCGCCATGAGTCTCTAGCTGCAAAGTTGCACGTAATAGTTTAGCCACAAGGCATTGATGCGATGTATAAATTAATGAAATCATGAATAGTTGCAAATTTGAAGCAATAGAAAATCACATTAAATTTAAGAAGCAAACTACAGAAATTATATATACTTTAGAGTCGAAAACACACACGGAAGAGGAGTGTATACCTTGGTTAGAATGATGTCAAGAAGCTCCATCTTTGCTTTAGAGTCGAAAATCTCAGTTTGATGACTGGAATTTATTCGATAAAAACAATGAAATCAGATTATTTTTTTTATATAGAAATTGAGAGTAAAATTAATGGAAATGCAATATATTAATGAAAAAACAGAAAAAGTTAAATCATATACTTGAGATGCCATCTCGAAGGTCTGAATTGGTCGTTTATGGAGGGATTCAAGATACACAAATAAAACCAAACACCGACTCATCGAGGTTTACGGAAGAAGATGGAGTCATATGGAAAAATCGAGACCTCACTAATCTCCCTACACCGATTCATCTTCTCTTCCAGTTCACAGATCCAAACACCTGCACACTAAAAAAATTCTGCCATATAAATAAATATATATATATATATACATTACACACACACACACACACACACACACACACACACACAGAGACCTGAGCAAGAAGGGGTGCTGGTGCGGAAACGAAGAAGGAGAGAGGATAGATCTGCGTTGGAGTCTGAGATCGATCACGAAGATAAGATCCATCATGAAAATGAGATCGATTGAAGCTGAAGATCTTAGATCTCCATTGAAGTCCCCAGACGATTGAAGCTGAAGATCTTAGATCTCCATTAGAGTCTTAGACAAAGAGCCCTAGACAGAGAGAAGAGAGTACAAATCGAGAGCATGCATTTGACAAATTAGGGCAAGAAGATGAGATTTTATTTGCCTATTATTGAGACGACCTAAATTTGGTCTCTAAAAATCTTCACACATTAGTAACCAAATATATTGGTTCCCAGTTCTTAACCATATCAAACAAACGCGGATCAACTGGTCAAATACGGTATATATCCATCTCATAAAAGTAATATGGAGGGTTTGTATGGATTTTTTTTTAAAAATTCATTTTTGTCCCTAAATGATGACTTTTAGAGACCAAATTTAATTGATCTCTAAATATTAGTCTCTAAATCACTAATTTCTTGTAGTGTTTAAATTTTTTTTAAAAAATGTATAGAAATATAAGAGATGATACAATTCAAAATAAATTAAAAGAAGTAACTTTTAATACACTTCCACCAAAAAAAAACCTAAAAGATGTCCATTTTTCATCCACGTTTGAAAAGGTCGTTGGGACTTTTAAAGAATACTTTTAGCGGAACCCACCGCACACATCAACACACACAGCAACACACATAAATGGAGCACTATAATAAGTGGTTATTTTTAGCTCCCGGCTAAGCTAAACATTACATATGCAAAAAAAGCTTAGTGCTAAGGGCAGCAAGAGAGAGGATAGATTGTCAACATGCCCAACCCACAACATACCAATGTTAGAGATGAAATTCATGTGTTCTTTTTATTTTTATAAATTATTTATTTATGATGTTTTTTCTTGATTGATTTCAAATATATGCAATCATTATATTTTAGATATATTAAGTAATTATTAAACTTAGACTAATTTCAACTTATAACTTATTGGGATTGTACCAAATTCATTTGCTTTGTATTGTTGTCTTCCCATTTTTTTAAAATTAAATATGCTTTGGTATTGTTAAAGTAAATATTTGTTAATTGTATGTTTGTTAAGATTAGTTCAATTGTTCACCTCTGTACATTTATACATGAGATGTTAAAGGGTTCAATTTTATCAAAGGCAAACATTGATAATTTTTCCTTTATTATATTGGATTCTTTATTTTTATTCTCTCTTATTATAATTGCTTTTTGTTAAGTTACTTGGTAGACTTCTATTATTAGATTATATTTGCGTTGTTGGACCAAAAACAAATTATTTTACCTCTTTGAATTGTGTTATATTTATGATGTTTTTTCTTGATTAATTTCAAATATATGCAATCATTATATTTTAGACATATTAAATAATTATTGAACTTAGACTAATTTCAACTTATAACTTATCGGGATTGTACCAAATTCATTTGCTTTGTATTGTTGTTTTCCCATTTTTTAAAATTAAATGTGCTTTGGTATTGTTAAAGTAAATATTTGTTAATTGTATGTTTGTTAAGATTAGTTCAATTGTTCACCTCCGTGCATTTATACATGAGATGTTAAAGGTTCAATTTTATCAAAGGCAAAAATTGATAATTTTTCCTTTATTATATTGGATTCTTTATTTTTATTTTCTCTCTTATTATAATTGCTTTCTGTTAAGTTGCGTGGTAGACTTCTATTATTAGATTATATTTGCGCTGTTGGATCAAAAAAAAATATTATATGTTACAATATACGTGATAATAGGAAAGCTTATGGTGTGCACTCCTTATTGATGCATACCCACATGCACTACGATAAATTAGTGTAATTTTGTTACAATATTTCGTAACATCAATCACAAAATGTTTAACTTTGACACAAATTAGCATAATAAAATGTGTAAAAATTGGTAGTTCATGTAACAAAAATTTATGGTTCGGTTACAACATTTTACATTATGCCAATTTGTAATAAAATCAATGGAAAAATGATTACTTTAGTTATTAAACTCAATGTAGATATATATAAAATATTTATATTACTCTTTTTTTGTTGAGTTTAATGATTAAAATATTATTTTTTTCTATCAATTTTACTTAACAATAATATACAGATTATTTAGATTGTAAACAAATCAGAAATTTAAAATTTAAATTGACAAATTAAAAAATTTATAATTTATTTTGTTACAAGTGTTAAAACTCTGAGGATTTTTTATAATTATTCCAATAAAATATTACACGGCTATGTAATAATCCAATACTAGCTTGGGCCATCTGGTCTCCATCGCTTTAGATTTACAGATGAAGAACTTTTTACATAATTACATTTTAGGACATCAAAGTTCTATTCTAGCTCTATTCTAGTTGACTCTTTAACTCCATTTATTTTCCGGTTTGCTTAATGGTATGAGTTTCAGAATGTTGTTATAGTATAGATTTAAACTTGGTAAATATATATTTAGTTTACGCTCTGGTCTATATATTTTATTTTTGAACTAATTTTTACTTTACTTTTTACGTTTTCATGTGCAGCCTTATTCCATGGTCCCTAAACATGATTCAAAGAATTAGTGTAAAATGATTATGATAATTGTGCTAATGATTTTGATAATTGTGCCTTGCAATATAATTAATTTAAAATAAAATATAAAAAACCATAACCCTATTGAGTATTTTTTCCTCCTAACATTTGATTGATAATTTTTGTAATTTTTTGTTTTGTTTAAATAGTGAAAGAGAGCGAGTTTCTTCCACAGCATTTCACGCTATTTTTATCCTTCTCATCTCCACTCTGAGTACTCTCCTCCAAGTCAAGTACCAAAATAAGAATTGTTCTCCATTCGAAACTTATTACAAAATTATGATAGCTTTTATCGTGGCAATGTTCCTCTATGCCATGGCATTAATAGCCGAGATAATAACTCAGACTCAATACACATTCTATGGCGCAATCTGTAGTCAGATTAGTCTATTCTCAGGAGCTCTTGCCTCAATTTTATTGCTACTAGTTCTTGTCCCAACTTTTGGATGGTCTCTTTTGATCTTGTGGTGTATTATCTTTGTAAAGGTATTGCATAACTCAGTTGGTGAATTGGCTTACAAAGCACTGTTGAATGTTTTACAAGTGTTGGTGGATCATAACTTGAGAGAGCAACCACATAGATTACTTGTGTAATGGCCTGGTATTTGTTGTATCATGAGTAGAATTGGCAGTTCCATGTAGCTAAGAATTGTTATCAATGTAGTAAATTGATGACTAGTACTGTATCCTTGGCATCACAGAAAAGGGTTTTTTATTTTTATTTTATTTACTTTTAATATAGAAAACTCTAATTGATCTATCTTGCCATTATGTAAAGGGTTTTATGAAAACTTTGGATACAATCTATCATTTGTGAATCGCCCCGTATCAATTAAAGGCTCGTTCGGTATATGGATTAAGGCTAAATTAGCTTATTAAAAGATAAAATAGATTAATTTAGTTAATAAGATAAAATGCCATAGTCAAATTATAATCATTTCACTTTTTTTTTTACAACTATTAAATCAACTATAAAAAAAGTCCAAAATTCATCCATTTTTTTTTTTTTTTTTGTTTGTGTAACCAGATTAAAAAAATTTAAAAATTATACTAAAAATTTTTATCTCAAACAAACCAAGTCGGATTTATTTTGCAACCTTGAGAGTCCCACATAAGTCCTCCGAAAATAAACTCATAGTGAATGTAGATAGTACACATTATCTTATCACATACAAGAGGTCAATTTATTTTTTTAATTTTAACAATATAATACCTAAAAGTAGAAAAAATAAAATAAAACTTTAAATATGAGAACAAAAAAAATAAAACTAAATATTAGATTAAAAAAAATCAAATTAAACTTTGGGCTTACTCTTGCGAAGGTTTATGGGTGGACTCGGGTTATAAACTTCTATTCAAAGTCTTAAATTATCTTTTATGAATTGGAATGGGATGAACACTTAAGCGGGTTGGAACAAACTATGAGATCAATTTGAAAATATCAACAAAAAAAAATTCGCAGCCCATTTGAGATTCCTTACACACGACTCCAAACATTCTCAAAGAGCTCCCAAAAAAATAAATAAATCATTAAATATGAAAAATTATTAGATATTCTCCAAATATTACGTGTTCATACTTTTTCACTAATTATTTTTCATTATATCCCTTTATATTTCTCATCATCTAATACAAAATCATAATACCTAACCTTTTTTACTAAACATAAAATTATAAAATATTACGTAAAAATATCCAATAATTATCCGTTAAACATTTAGAAAAAGACCAGGAAGTGGGTCCCTCATAATGCGGCGCCACAATGTAAGAAAAAACTGAAAATCTTATTTTATTGTTTTGTTTGTTTTATTTTTGGGTGCAATGGAAGGAAGCTGAAAATTCAGTGTTGCTAAGTGGATCTACATATAGAACTCCCACAAAATTGAAAACCGTATTTATGACCAGGTGATTGAAAGGAGTGATAGGGGCTGTGAAAATGCCCAACGGACTACAAAGGAATGCTAGGGATGACAAGTATGTATATATATGTATTATACATTCATCTTCAAAAATATTATTTTAGTTCATTCTATTAAAATATATCTAGAATATATTATTTCAGTTCATACAAATTATATCGGTCCAGACCACATCAGCATGTGAAAATAGTATTGTAGTCTATTTGTAGGCTAAGAGGGACAAAAACTTCATGCCCAAGTCTTGCCTAAGAAGCTTGGCCTAGACAGGCTAACAGGTTGATATTCAAACTAAGTGTAACGAATCAAGTTTTTTTTTTGTATATTTTTAATTTTTATTTATTTATTTACTTTTTTCCTATTTTTTTTATTTTTCCTTTTCCTATCAAGCTCAATAGTTGGGCAAGGCTTCAATATCTAGGCCAAGCCCCAAGTGCAACCAAATTTGGGCCAAGCCATCAGGCTTGGCGTATAAGCTTGGACCGAGCTGGTGAGATCATGGGCTTTCAAGATGAACAATGACTCTTAATATCAACTACACAATAGACCCATCACTTAAGTCTTCCCCCCTTTCCCATCACAAAAAAATGGCTAGTTATTATTATTATTATTTTTTTTTTTTTTGGCACTCCGTAGGATATTAATGGATGAGTAAGTAGGTTAAAGCACATATGCTCGAATCCAAACCTCTTCTTGGTGTGTTTGATTGGAGGGATTAGGAAGGAATATACTGTGGAATTGTAATTCGAGGGAAGCTTTTTATTCGACATTTTTTTTTTAGTTCACCGGATATGGAGTTCGGCCGAACTCCTTATCCTCCATATGTGGGATTATACTATCCCGGGGGTGGGGGGTGTGGGACAATTTTCATTGAACTATTTACTGTTGGGTTAGGTGGTGAAATGACAATTTTGACCCTCTACTATTTAATTATGTATTATATTTAGTAAAATTCAATAAAATTTAAATGTCTCAATTTAAAAATAAAATAATTTTATTTAACCTTTTATTGATTTTTTATTTATTTAATTTTTAAAATAATTTTTTTATAGATATTTTATTGATGTTTTATTTTACAATTTTGTTAATATTTAATTTCATTATTTAAATTTTAATAGATGTTTTATTTAATTTGGTTACTTAATTCTTATTATTTTTAAAGATAAATTTATTTAAAATTTTAATTAAAAAAATAATATATATTTTTATTGATATTTTATTTATGTTATTTATTTAATTTTTATAAAATAAATTCATTTAATTGTGTAAAAAATAAATTTTTATTTAATCTAGCTAAAAATAATTAAAATATTAAAGACATGTTTAATATTGCTATTACTTAGTAAACAATTGAAAAATGGTAAAATAGTCTTTTGTTCATTTATCCTATTCAGTCCGTCCAGACAAACAATGAATTCACAAAAAATAGTGCTTTCCAGACATCTAATTCCATGAGAAAACAAACACATGATACATATTCAATTCAATCAAATAGTTCGGGGGATTCTGTAACGCCCTGAAAATTTATAACATTATATAAGTATATCAACCAACATTCATTATAAGAAAGTGTGTGATTCTTTAACTTTTACATCATAGATTATTGAAGTTTTGTACAAAAATAGTCTCACATGCGAATTATACATTCCATGATATCAAATACATGAATTTATAGTATGTAGAATATTTCAAAAGTAAACAAATTGCTCGGTTACACAAAAATTGTCTCTCGGACTCTAACAGTTATAGCCCTTGGTTAGCAAAAATATACCACAACACAAAAATAAGAGTCTTATGCTCCCAACACATATGTCCACGCCTTAACTTGGCGGGATCACCACGTCTTTGCCTGCACCAAAATCCCATATGGGTGAGCATAAAGTCCAGTAGGAAATTTTAAACAAAGTATATACATTTTATACAAGTTTCACAATTGAAATGCACATGTTATGCTATGCGTTTTGAAGAAAGTCACATTTTTATACCTTTAAAAAAAATCATCATGCTCGATGGTAGCTTAAAATCTCAACAATTTAGAAATTTTCAATTTGTTTCAAGGGGCGATAAATACGACACAAGTAATCCCTAGGTTGATGTCTGCAAGTAGGCATAACTAGCACTACCAAAACCCTACTTTACCGGTTGCTAACCGGAAGGGAAGTGGTACCTCTTCCGCGTGTGTTTTCGGTCTTTCACCCCAGACACTCAGGCCATTTTAATCAAGTACATCTACATTCCCTATCCGGACTTACCAACGTATTTACCCCAAAACAAATCCATGAGAAGTTTATTTATAAACCCTTTTTTTTTTTTTGTTCTCAATGTAAAATTTTCCAACTCAATTCAAAATGTGCAATAGCAATTGAATGGAAATGTAATGCAACAATTATCAATGCCAATAATTCCGAAATATTCAAAGTTCCATTTCTCCGTTCAATACTATCTCACAAAATAACCATGTTTTCATTTAAATCCATCGACAAATAATCACATTTCCACATCTCAAGCAATTCCAACAACTTAGTCATTTCAAGACTATAACAACATTTGGACAATAATTTCCAGTAACAACAATTCCCATATTTCATGAAACTCGTCATTTATAACTATAAATAAGAATTCTTCCCATCATTTACTCATTTTGATACACAAAATAATACGTTGACAATGTCGACCATGTGTTCTCAATACTTGTTTTAAAAACCCCAAATTTCTAGGTTTTTCTCACCACAACAACACACACACCCAAACATTTGAGAGAAGCTCTCTAAAATATTATCTTTCCTCAATCAATGTAATTCAAATCCTTAAGAGATTATTCATAGAAGGCATGGGGTAAACCCACTTTAAAACCACCCATACTCTAGAGCCAACAATCAATCTCAAAGCTATCAAGCAGGATTTCGAAAATCGTTTAGATCTTGCAAAAATATATATAACTCAAAGAAAGTCCCTACCTTTAGTTCTGGAGAAAGAGAGATGAGAAATCCCCAAATTTGACGGTGTTGAAATGCAATCTCCACTGCACATAACGAAACCCTCGAGAAATTATCCAACTTTGATGAAGGAACTTGGGTTAAAATGCCAATGGATTTGGAGAGATCAATGATCTTGTGAGGTTTTTGGTAAGAAATGTAGAGAGAAGAGAGAGAAAATGGTTTTTAGAGAGAGAGAAAGATGTATAAAATGATATACATTCAGCTCAAGAAAAGAAAAAAAAAAAGAGCAAATTTTTGGACTCGGCTTAGTCCTGCACGTGCAGCACCCATTCCCGCACGTGCGGAGTGTCCTTCCGCACGTGCGGCGCCCTAACCCCACACCACCATCCGTACCTACCTTTTATGCAGTAGGCAACCCAGGTTCTCCCCAACCCCTCTCTCGCACGTGCGGCCCAAGGCCCCGCACGTGCAGCCCTGCCCTCCAGCCAAGAAAAGTTCTCAGCTCAATTTTCAACACTCCGGACCCGACCTCGCACCCTTCGGAACAGGTGAAACTTGACACAGAAGTAAACAAGGACAAGGATTTTAAGAAAAGCTTTTAAACGCAACAAACCTCAAACTGTTCATCACTAGATTTTCAGTTAGTCCCGACACTCTAACAAGGCAAACCCGAGGCTAGACAAAGAGAAACAAGGCAGACAACTTACCCGGTCATCACAGATTCACAGTCTCAGGATTCAAGTCCGATGGATTCTAATTCCCTTTATCCAGTCCATCCAATCAAACAAACCCTTAGTGGTACAATCACTAGAGTTACACTTGTGATCTAAGGAAATGCAGTGGGATTTTCATATTATATATCCATATAGAGTGATGTTATAAATGAGAAATACTATCTACTTAAAAATTATTACTTAGGAAGTGCCCAGCGTTTTTCGTGTATATTGTAGATTTAAGCTTAACGTTAGGCAGGCCACATTCAAGATATTTGATTAATCATTTCAAATTTTGAGTACTTCTTTAAATAAAAATTATGAATATGCTTGTTATATATAAATAGAACATCAAATTATATTAGTGTAGTTGTAGTTTGTCACTTGTATTAATTTAGTCATTATAATTCTAATTATCTCAATTTAATTTTTAAAGTTTTCAATTTGTGTTAAAAACAACGACAAATTAAAACAATACTCCCAGTGGTTTACTCGTATAAATTTAGTCATTATAGTTCCAATTATAACTATTTTACCCTTTAATTTACATTTTATATCAAATTAGTCATATTGTTAACGTTTGTCAAGATATTTGAAAAAAAAAAAAAAAAATTGTTACATGCTCCTTATGTGCCCATTCACATGGACCAAAATAGAAGAATGAACAATTACATTATGTTACATGCAAATTTTTCTATCTTCTCTATCATTTTATGTATACTAACATTCGAGTCCACGCAATGCGTATACTATTACTTTTTGAAATCGGGAAGAGATTTGACAAATAAAATTGTAAAGAAATTTTTTTTTGAATGTGGGTTCTTGCTATTACATATTTGTCTCTTTTTGTGGTAAAGAAAAACAAAAAAGTCATCTCATGCATTGGGTATTTTTGGAAAAAAATTTACTTTAATATTACACCAAATCAAGTGTACACATATATAATAGTATAGATATACAATATATATATATATAGACACACGTTACTCCGATTTGGTGCAAAAATTTAGCTAAATGGTCGGATTTGGTAAAAAAGAGAGAGTGAAGGGTATGTTGGTTTGGTCCCTCTCGTCTATGTCTATACCTAATCACACTTTTCCTAAATATCCATATAATGGTGACTAAATTATTGTAATTTTCTTAATAGGATTAGCTTACCCATGATAATTTAATATAGGAACCCAAGATAAGGCTCAATAAATATGGAGTCCATAGGTTGGCCTGTTAACTACATGGTCTTATCTGTTTTGGGTCCAAAAGTTATCAGGCCCATTGGGCTAGAAAAGTTGGAGTAAGTGCCTTCAAAAATTTTAAAAGAAAAGACAATGTAAAAACTGTAGAGCTGGCTGCAATTTCTTCAACGGCCGTGCTTCAGGGCCCGAAAATGGGGGGCTCGAATGTCCCGAAAATCCATTTAAGGTAAAAAAAAAAAAAAAAAAAAAAGGAAAAAAGAAAGAAAAAAAGAAAACCGTTTCCAAAAATGGAAATTAGGGATATTAGGGGCAACTTTTTTAGGGCCATCAATCATTTTCCTTTCTCCAAATCTTAAAGAAGGTTAGTGCAATTTATCTGAAGGGAAAAGTTGTCATTTGATTAAATACTTTTAATGGCATTAGAAAATACTATACTTTTATTAATACATCTCTATCGTATGGACCAATTTATTAAGGGATAAGGGGTCACTGCCGTGTGTGAAGCACAACAGTGACTGTGGTGTCTCTATTTGAGGTGTATTATGGCCTTATTTTTATGATCCAAACCGTCTATTTTGTAGGGTTTGTTGAGTACTTCATGCCTACCAAAAATCATATTAATCGGATATCAACAACTATATGATCGACAACCAAAAAAATAAATAATAAGTTTTATTTTGAGAAATAACATAAATAATATGCAATTCGATCATATAGTTTTTGATATCCGATTAATATGATTTTTGGTAGGCATGAAGTACTCAACAAACCCTACAAAATGGACGGTTTGGATCGTAAAAATAAGGCCATAATACACCTCAAATGGAGGCACCACAGTCACTGCTGTGCTTCACGCACAGAAGTGACCCCTTATCCTTTATTAAGTGCATTTAAAATTTAAGAGAAGTCGCTATAATTATATCAAAATTATGGGCATACTCATAATTTTTTCAAATTTAAGGGAGGCCAACGTGATTTATCAAAAATTAAAAAAATAACAGTTAAGTTTTCCAAATTTATTTCTAAAATTTAACAAAATAAATTACAAATTAATTAACAAAAATTTTTAAAAAAAATTAGTTTTGTCACAAACAAAGATAAAATCATGTGAAAATAATAAATTTTTAATTTAATTTTAGTTTTTTTCCCCACTAAACTAGTTTTTGAAAAAAATTTGAAATTAGAGCATTCAACAATAACATGTGGTTCAAAAAAAAAAAAAAAAAGAAGCGATGGCAACTCGTGAAGGAGAACTGAATGGTTGAGATTTGAAATTCGTGATCTAACTTTTAATTTTAGTTTTAGTTTTTTCTTACTAAACTAGTTTAATTTTGAAAAAATTTAAAGCAAGAGCATTCAACCAAACAAACCATGTCAACTCATCTTAGTTAAGAGAAGAGGAACTGAATGGTTGAGAGTTGATAATCGTAGTCTAACTTTTAATTTTAATTTTAGTTTTTTTCCACCAACCTAGTTTAATTTTGAAAAAAATTAAAACAAGAACATTCAACAAAGCAAGCCATGTCGACTCATGTCGATTAGGGAAATAAGTACTGAATGGTTGAGATTTGAAGTTGGTGATCTATCCAATTGAAATAGACAACATAGACACACATTGATGTTAATTGACTCCTAATACAATTTGATTGGCGAGCCATGTCTCCAAAAGGGAAAATTCTACCATATATGAAAGTGGTTTTCATGTATGGTATATAAAAAAATATAGATCATTAGATTTAGATAGGATGAGTAATAGCCATTGAATGAGTAAATAGTAAAACTAGGTAGAAAAAATAAGGTGATTTTCTAAAAAATAGAGAAGTTTTAGTTAATTTTGAAATAAAAAAAATGATGCTAAATTACTATTTGCTACAAACATACTTACTATTTGTTATTCACTTATATACTATGTGTTACGAATAAGCATACTATTTAAAATATTACCTATTAAACTGAAGATTGTGCCCTCTTTTGCATTTTAAATGTATAAAACTAATGACATACCATATTTAACTATTTTTTCTTCATATTTTGTCTTGTTACGATTTGTAAAATGTAAAATATGATATGTAAATATTAATTTATCAAAATTTGTTAAAATTTACTAATTTTTTTAAATAGTCATTATCGTGAAAAATTAATTTTTGATATAATATTAAAAATGAATAAAAAAAGAAAAAAAATTATAAACAAAATATTTTTAAATGGTAAGTTATTATTTATAAATTCTATATAATTTTTTTATTTTTGTTAAATAAATTTTAAATCCATATCTTTTTTAAAATTATTTTATATATTTCACAATTGTGAGTTAAATCTGATAGAATAGTAAGTGGGGTATCATTGAGTAGTAAGTTATGTTTGATTAAATAGTGAGTCAAATTTGATGGAATAGTAAGTGGATATTTTAATTTACTTATAATAAATAAATTGTGACAATAATTACCAATTATTATGAGAAAACTTATGACTCATTAAGATAATTCTTACCATTCATAAACACAATATTTACTAGTCATTGGACTCTACTTATGACTCAATAGTAAGTGGGCTTTCATTGACTAAGTAAGGTTTAATTGAGTAGTAAGTTAAGTTTGATATAATAGTAAGTTGAGGCAAATTGAATTGTAGGTAAAGTAGTACAAAGTAGTTAGTGAAATTTCATTGATTAATAAGTCATATTTGATTGAATAGTAAGTCAAATCAAATCAAATAATAAGTAAACATTTTAATTTATTTACAATCAATTGTGATA